CACTGTTCCAACAAAATGTTAATAAAATAAAATAAAAATACTTTTTCCCTTTCTCCTCCCCTAACCTTTTCTGAGAGAGTTGATTTTTCTTTTAATTTGGGGAGTATTTTTAGCCAGCTGTCTTCTCTGCCTCATCTCCTCCCAGAGTGCCTGGGTAGATAACTAGCTGTGTTCCGAGAGAGGTGACCCCTGCTCAGTGTCCCTGCGTCCCAGATGAATCTCCCAAGTCCTGTAAATAGAGGGACTGCGACGGGGCTGGGGAGGAAGACGGCCGAGTGGCCAGCCCATAACTGCTGCCCGTTGCCACTGGCCCTCTGGCCCTGTTCCCTAGTCCCCGTCAGACTCCACATTTTTATTATAATACTCGGACTGGGCCGGAAGGTGCTGTCAGGCGTTCATCACCTTGCTTATATCCAAACTATTCCTAACCCTGCTGTCCTGGTGGTTGTTTGACCTGAGGGATACAGAGAACACTGCTGTCTGCTGTCATCTCTCTTTCTTCTCCCCCTGCATGGAGCCAGGCCCTGGGGCAGTGCCCAGTGGTCACTGGGGAGAGAGTCGAGGCTCCTTATTCTGAGAAGCCCTTGAACTGCCAGTCCCACAGAAAAGAGTCAGCCCCTCCCGGTGCCCGGTTTGTCTGAGCTGAGTGGTAGGAAAGGACCCAGTGGCACTGTGAGCCAGTTGGCTGCAGCTTACACAGTCAACTGGTTTGGTTTTGTTTGCATTTTAATAGAAATCTTTAAACAATTTTGTTTATCTTCTGAAGGATAAAAATAAGCAGGTGTGGCAGCCGGGAGGCCGTTGACTTCAGCTGCTGCAGCGGTAACACGGGGCTTTATTAATCAATAGAATGTAGCTCTCTTGTTTCTGTTCTTTTAAAAGAATCCCACCCTGGGAAAGTGATGGAAGAGAAGTCCTTGGCCCAGCATCTACCCAGGGGCAGTCTCCTGGGAAAGTAGATTCCAGAGAACCGAGGGAGCTAGCAGTCCGTCCTGGCTCCGGGTCTTCGTCTGCACGGCTCGCTTTGAATTGAGCGCAGCTTTGCAGATCAGGCGGCTGTGGTCTTAAAGGTGAAATGATAGAGGCAGGCGTCCTGCTCCGTCTGCTCACCTCGGACAAGTCCCCTCGTCTGTTTCTCCTCCTCTTGAGTAAAGCTAGTGAGTGGATGGAATAACTGAGCAGGACTTCCTTAGTTTTGCTCTCTATCAATAACATAGTTTAATTGTCAGTGTCACAGGCTGGGGGAGGGGCTGGTAGCTCCTGGAATCACCAAGTAGCAGAGGTGAAGTTACTGAGAGAATATCTAAATGCAAAGTGCTAGTGCTAAAAGAAAATTTTAGGCTTTATTAAAATTGGCTCATTCTTCCAAAGGCAGCAGCTAAAGGACATGTGAGGCAGGGATGGGAGGGGAGGAGGTTTGCCTGCCACAGGACAGTGACACCCTTTCCTCCTGTCTCTTCTCTGCTCAGCCCTCACTCAGTCCCTCTGCGGTTAGATTGCAGATAGCAATCAACTGGAAGGAAGTATGTGTGTCTAATTTGCATGAGATTATTTAAAACAAAAACAAAAAAAGGTCTGCATTAGTCAGGGTGATGGTAAACAACGCAAAGAGCTGCCTTTTACAATATAGCCTGTGCCTCAGCTTTCAGAGCCAAATATAATTCACTTACAATTGGCAGTTTCCTTTATTATTCCTTTTAACCTTTTGGATTCTGCAAGGTCTCAATCTAAGTTCTCCACTGTTTATCTCAGTGCAGGTGGGTGAGAACCTGGCTGTCTTATGTGTGGGCCTTAAGGCAGTACCCCATCCCTAAAGGCAGGGTCCTTTCAGCGCCAGGAGCTGCTGAGGGGTAGATACCTGAGAGGAATGACACTCCACCCCACCTCAGGCTCTGTGAGTTCCAGATGAATCACTTGAGTCTTGTAGAGTCAATCTTCCCGAAGCTGGGGACACTCCAGAGGAAAAGGCCACTAAGGGAAGCGTAGGCACCAGTCTGTGAGAGGCCTTTGGATTTATTTGATTAGAATATTAGAAGGAGATGAGGTCGCTCAACCCTTGTCACTCTGGTTGTGTTCAAAAAGTTGTCAAGGTGTCATTTGCAAATAGGACCCAGGTGTTAGTTTCCTGTGTTGTTTTGGGATAGCCCCCAAACAGCATTCACTGGCTTTTACCTATGGATGGGGTGCCGGTGGGGGGGGTGCTGGGGGAAGACAAGTTAGTCCTCATATTTTCTTTAAAAGATTGAAGACTTTAGGCATCATTTTGATGTGTTGTAACTCTGCGCTGTAGTGGGAAGTCACCGGGCTGGGGTTTCATCTGGCATCACCAGGCTTTTACTAGTATGATTTGAGGCATAGTTTTCACCCTCCTTAGCCCTCAGTGTTTTGTTTTTTGTTTTTTAATCTGTTAAATAAGGGCAATGGCTAGGATAGTGGCCCAGCTCTGAAATTATCTTATTCAGTGAGATCGTTAAAATGCTTATTTTTTTAAAAAAGAAGAAAAGTGATTCATTTTCTGTAACTAAATCAAAATCCTGGCTCTCCAGAGAACTACGGATATCAGAATTCCAGCCAATGTAAATTTAGAGCATCAAATGATAAGGTCTGTATAAAATAAGAGCCTGGAAGGAAGTGCTGATGCCCTTTAAACCGGGGCTTCACTAGTGGGCTTGGCTACAATAATGCAAGGAATATGTTTTATTAGGAAAATAGGCTTCGTAAAAGCTCAGGGCCAGAGGGCAGGACAGTGGTCAGGGAGTCCTGTCCCTTTAACCAGCTCCAGCTCTCAGGGCTGCAGCACAGCCTGTAACTGCTGTATATTTCCCCAGCGTTAAACATTACGGTACTTGTTTATATTTGAAAGAGCCAAAAGGGAAAATGAGAATGCAACCGAATGCTCCTTTTGGGAAAATTATCCTCATTTGCAGCCAGTGGCTGACAAGGCACACGAACCACCAGCTTTATGAAGTCCCATTGTGTACCAGTGACCAGTAGCTCGTGCTGACGCCGCATGTGCCACTGTCTTCTTTCGTGGCTGATTATGACTGGTTAAAACCGTGTCTTTCCTACTAGAACTCTGAAAGGGGTTCCCTTTTCTACCGAGGAGTGGCTGGCAGTCAGTACCCGGGCTGGAGCCTGGGAGGCGCTCGCTTAGCGAAGTGTGTTCTCTGTGTTTGCCCGGCTCGTCTGTCTGTCCTGCCCCTGTCCTTGGGAGGTGACATCACAGTAAAGCGGTCCTTTTGCAGCAAGCTGGGGGCTTAGGGAGGAGGAACATCCCCTGGCTAGCCCCACGTATTCAAATTCAGCTCTTGTATTTGAAGGTGCCAAGCGCCAGTAAATGATCCTCTTTGCCCCCTGCCAGCCTCCTCTGCCCCGTCAGTCTGTTGAGAGGATGGTGTGCTTGCTCCGGCGACCCAGCAGCCCTGAGACTCCACGGAGGTGTGGCCTTGCCCACCACTGGCGGGCTCTGTCATGTGCTGAGGGCAAAGAGGGAAAGGGATGCGGTGTTAAGTGGGGGAGGGACCTCGAGGGCTCGGTGCAGAGAGGAGAAGAGAGGGTCCAGGGCCATTTAGAATAGTTCAGGAATTCTCCCTTGACCACTTGTGGTGGGGCATGAAGAGTTTGAGGGGCGGCTGCAGCCAACTCACATGCCAGCGCCGTGTGGGGCAGCGCTGTGCTTAGAGCATTAATGGGCTCCGCCGGCTAGCCCCTTGGCACAGAGCTCGAGGCACTGTGCTTTGGGAGATGTTGATCCTCAGAGCCTCCTTGCACTTCACCTCCCCCAGGGACAGATAGACCATGCTGCGGGCCTCCGACCGAGAGCTGCTGGCCCGATGTGGACGAGCTCTCGGCTCTAGTTGAAAAGTTCTGTGTTGTGGCTGGACTGGATGTCGGGATTCCCAGAACAGCTCGGGCCGGCCAGAGTGCTCTTTTGCAAAGACTAGCAGTGACCTCCCACCTGCTTCTCCCAGTCGCAGCGCTTGGAGCATTTCTGTGCACACGGCTGCTTCCCCTGCGACACAGAGCTGCCCTGTGGGGAAGTCTTTCTCACACCTGTGCGCCACTCCTCGTGCAGATGCTTTGGATTGGTCAGTGCCCTCGTCCTCTTCCCCCAGAGCCGGCGTCCCTGGTCTGCCTCCGACCTGTTGAAATATTCCAGCTGTGCGCCCACTGGAAATGTCTTCCTGGGTTTTTCACTTGTCCTTTATTCCTCCTTGGGCAAAACCTCTCCACATGTCATAGCCACTGCAGATGGCGCCCTGCAATTTCCTGATGTCCCAAGTGCCCTGTGGTTTAGAGTGTTGGGAGGATTTTTTTTAAAAAAAGGAAAAAGAAAAACTAGCCAAAGGCGATATAGGCAGCCTGTGATAGTCTAGAGTAATAATCATCTGAAAGTTTGGGCCTGGCCTTGTTTTGATCTGTTTCCTTGTTTTATTTTCTTCTTTACATTCTATATCCCATTCATACTAATCACAGCCAGTCCTGATTTTTCTTTTTATTTCTGCATTTGTCATAAAATAAAGCAAATTATTCCCGTCTTCAGAAACGATCTAGACTAATTAGTCGTCTCACCCAATAATTAGTTTTTTGTTTCCCTGTCTGTTTTCATGCATTATTGTTAGTTTTTTCCCCTCTTTTTTTTTTTTTTTTTTTTAACACCATTACAGATTAAAATGAGCCACATTTGCAGTTTGATGGTATCTGTTTTCAGGGAAGAATGGAGAATTGCAGTACGGAGAGACTTCAAAAGCAGCAATAAACTCAAGGATAAATTAAGGAAATTGAATGAGCCACATTTGCAAGCAGTGTTGAGGCTAATATTCTGTCGCTTAAGGTTAAATTGCAGCTGAGAGAGGTTCCAGAGAATCCGAAATCGGGGAAGCAACTTACCAGGATGCTAGGCATCCTGTGACTCTAAGGTCTTTTCTCAAATGATTTCGTTGCAGCCATGGACAGTGGCAAAAGATACTCACCTGCAATTATGTCCTCTTCTCCCCCAGGGCTGACGGATGAAGAGATTGATTTGGCTTTCCAGCAGTCGGGCACGGCTGCCGATGAGCCTGCGTCCTTGGGCCCAGCCACACAGGTGGTTCCTGTCCAGCCCCCTCACCTCATTTCGCAGCCATATAGTAAGTCACCCGCTCAAACTCTGGCTTTAACCTTGACTGGGATTCAGGACTCTGGCCAAAGGGCAGCGCTTCAAGTCTCCCAGAGTCAGCAAGCGTGGCGGGGGTTGGGGGGGGACTGGGAGTAGGAGATGGCTCTTGGGTTTTTCCAAAAGACTGTGACACACCCAAATCCTCTTCTAGATGAACTTTTAAGTATGTGACAGAGGTTTAAGACGCAAGGTACCAGAATAAATGAGTTTATTGTATTGTTTCAAGTATTTTGGTTTCAAGCAGGACTCTGTAAAAGTATTTATTGGTTCAGTTTCCGTTTTCTTATATCAGTGCTTTTTGCATGTTACTGTTTCACTAATAAGAACATAAACATCTGATTTATGGGTGCATTCTTGTTTGGTCAGTGAAATAACTTGTCTCCTAGTTTTATCTTTTAAAGTTAACATTAGTAGATTTAGGCTAGCCTTCCTCACCCCACCCTCCTTTTCTTCCTTCCTTCCTTCCTTGTCCTGGCTATACCACGTATATTTATGTAGTGGCAAGCTGTTAGAGAATTTCACATTAAATGTGAAGGTCCTTTCTGAATGCAGCTTTTAATTATCACATGAGAACATGACCCATGAGAGGTTTTTGTTGTTTTTAAGTGAAAGCTACTTTTAGCAATAAAGCTTCTTTAAGCTAGTAATAAATGTACACTTGCAAAATATAGGCAGAACTCCTTCTTTAAGTCACTTATGAAAAACCTAAAAAGGTTAAAATTGACTCCAAAGCAATGGAAAATTGCTCAGTTTTGTGTGTTTAACATAAGACTTCAGCCTTGGATCTGCTGTCTTTCAAAATGCCTTTTCTGTAATTGTCTTCATTTTAATGGTCTATCTCGGAAGTTTTCTTTTTTTCAAAACATGATTTTAAAGTGTCAGATATCAGATTTTGAAAGGCGCAGTTTAAAATGCCAGACTTGTTTTGATCCCCACCACGTGGCCTGGAACCGCCTTCTGGCCCCCACTTCGCTGTCCTTCCCACAAGCTAGGGAAGTGCAGTCTTCCGTACAGACAGCGCGGGGGCCAGGCAGTAGGTTAGAATCTGCCTTGTGTGTCACAGGTCTCATTTAGATATCACCTTTCTTTTGCTCTCTGGGAAAGGCTGAATGGGTGAGGCCAGGTAGCACGAACTCAAGTTGATCTATCCGTGGTCGCCTTGTCTAACAAACCACTGGTGTCGTGTGACCTCTGAGACCGGTGCTTTGTGATGAGCCTTGTACTGGGGCTGCTGAGTCAGTGGCAGCTATTTGTCAGCCTGGGACTCATTCTCCGTCCTGGCTGACATTCTTTTCGATCCATTGTGTTGCTTTGGGTCACTAAACATAGTCTCTGTGTTTCTTTTAAACCAAAGGCTAAGTCTCCACACTTTTTCTTCAGGTGTGTCCTTGGGCCCAGGGTTTGATGGGATTTGTTGACAGGCAGTGGCAGCTGGGGTGCAGAATTTTCTAAAATGCACATCTGTTCTATTCCAGCTGTTTCCTCCATGGCTTAATACCAAACAGTTCTCTCCGCTACTTGGAGACTTCTTGCTCAGAGCAAATTGTTCTGTTGGTCACAGAGTTGGCCTAAAGCATCATGCGTTTGCCTGCTTTCAGTGGGCACAAAGGGTTAAACTGCTAGTCTTTCTGAAGAGGCAAAAGAATGGGTCTGGGAGGGGCGATTCAGTCATTTAAATCACTCTCCTGCCCAGATCTCTCTGAGAAGAAGCATTACCACTTAGGTATTTAGGTAGGAGTATTTTTAAGAGTCTCCCAGCCCTAAAAATAAAATAGATCTTCTTAGAGACAGACTCCTTCCTGCTTTGACGCTAGTATAAAAACAATGGTAATGGTAATTTTAAATACCTGGAGTTTTTTAGTTGTCACCCTCCAGCTTCATTCTTCTTGTACCGTTACCCCGCTCCTCTCAGCTTGGGGGTGACTCTACCTCTTCACTTCTGTACTTTTGCGAAGAGGTGTCAAAACTACTCCAAAAAAAAAAAAAAAGCTTGATTTTGATTAATATAGAGAAACAAGACTTTGCCTGACTGATAATAAAACTGATAAATGACATTTGAATTACTTGTAGCGGTAATTTATTACATAAAATATCTTTTATTTGACATGCGATTAGTTGCTGGAAGCATCACTCAATCTGACTAGTTTAAACATGCTCTAAAATGAACCCCAGTAAAAACCAGGGCTGTCTGCTGCTGGCGTTATGAAATATACTAATCCTGGAGTGAGGAAAAAATCTGACTTTAAGTATTTAAATGATTAATTGGGTTTATATATATTTTTTTTACCTTTCTAACCCCCTTAATTACAAGCAAACTCAGGGGAGTTTCTGAACTAGGTGTGCAATCTGCATGCTTATCACCAAGGCATTGTCTGCGTCCTGGGAGGGATTTATGGCCTCCATTCATGTGTGTTCCTGCAGATTTTACATCTGGAGCTCGGGCAGCCCTTTCCTTCCCATTTCTTGGCTTTTTAAGGACATTCCATCTCTGAGCCCAAGCCTAGAAAATGGGATTTTCTGGGCTCAGCCCCAAATGCTCATGTCTCCAGGAAGGGTGGCTTTTCCGAGACCACCCCTGGGAGGCCAGTGCTCGGGGATCGTCACCTCTGGACTTGCCCACCCTCCTGCTTGGTGGCAGGTGTCCCCCTCGGTGCCTCTTTTGATATCTCTGCTTTTTGGTGAATGTGGTTGACCTTGAGATGTTAGTGAATGCCAGCATCAGCAAAGAGAACATGGAGACCTAGCAGAAATGGTACCAGTTCATCACTGTTTATTAAGAACCTGCTATATGCTCACTCAGTACAGTATCATGAGAGATTCAAAACATGATCTTTAAGAATCTTACAGGCTCTCTGGGAGAGATAACATATACTCTTAAGAAAAAGATAATAATATAAGACATTGTGATTTAATGCCAAAATTAATTATACAGACAAGAAACTCCACAGGAATACAGAAAAGAGAAAAATTAATGTGGGCTCGAGAAGTCAGAGAAGGCTTTGTGAAAGTAGGAGGAGGCTGACACCAGGGGAAGCTTGGTGTCACCTGGTGTGAGAATAAACCAGAGTTGTCAGGGCTTAAAAGAAAGTCGGGTAGAGCTCAGGAAAAGTCAGGCCGGGATGCAAGAGGAAATTTGACATCTTCTGTTTCTCGTTTTGGTTTGTTTTTGTTCGACTTTGAAGCAGGAATCAGTGTGCGTGTCTGTGTGCAGAGCCTAACACAGTCCTGAACTAAAGTCCTTGTAAATGCTTGACTGATTCATTCAGTCTTAGATGACTTTTCTGCTTTCCTTCCAGAGAGACAAGAAAGCAAGGTAGCTTTGAAATATAGGCAAGGCCAGTGTGAATTTTGTACGATAATAATTTTTCTTAGGCTTAAATATCCCGCCCCCCACTGTCTTTGGTAAACAATTTAGGCTTTTTCAAAGACTGACCTACAGCTTCAGTTGCCTCTTCTTAAAATAGGACATACATGTCTGAGGTTGGTGAAAGGCTTTGACATTTCATTAGAAATCCTGAGAGAGTGTTGTGTGCTCTTTCTCAGTTTGTTTCTCTTCTGGCCCTGTTTAGTAACATAAACTTTCCCTTGATTGTCTTAGGTCCCTGAGGGAGCATTGATTACTGAATGCCTGCTGTGTGCCAGGCACTGTGCCGGACCCCTGGGATGGGACGATTAAGGCCTGGCTGGTCTCTCTCTCCAGCCCTCCTGTCCAGTAGGAGAGACAGTTAAGGGAACACAGCAGTGCTATGAGGTCAGCCCAGGATGGTGGCACAGACAAGGTGAAGGGGCACCTCAGAGAGCGGGAGATGCCTAACTGGACCTGGGACATGATTGGTACAGTGACCAGACAGGATGGACCGGAGCATCCAAGCTAAAGCAAAGCCACATGGTCGTGAAACCATGTGATGGTCAGAGCGGCTGCAACATGGGATAGGAGTGTCAGAAGAGACGACCCGGGGGAGTTGGCCGCCAGGTCATCTCCCTGACGGAGGACAGTCAAAATCACATGGCTTTTTTACTTTGAAATGCATTGTGTAATTATTTTTGAGGCTGTATTACCTATTTAACTGTATTATTCTTAGACTAATATTAAAATTATTTGTACCATCGGAGCAGATGCTGCGTGGGGAATTAGAGAAGACATGCTGGGTGTGTGCTGGATGTGACAGGGGTCCAGATGCTCTGCCCGTAACTCCCTTTCAAATGCCTCCATTCCAACTGGGATGGAGGTTCCCCTTGCCTTGATCAGCCCCCTGCTCGCCACCAACACTACACTGAAATATTTACTCACTTCCTATTAAACTGTGAGTTTCCTGAGCTTAGAGGCTTTTTTTTTAATCTATGGCCCGAGGTTCTGACTTAGCAGGTTTTCCAGAAACACTTGTTGAATGAATAAATGATGGTGGACGTGTGTGCTTGAGAATTGCAAGGCTGCCGAGTAATACCATCAACTCTTGGGGTTGATACCCAGGTAGCCAGTCAGTGAGGCCTCCTGTGTGCTCTGTGTGGAGCAGGCTGCAGAAGTAGGGGACAGGCCTTGCCTCAGGAAGCCCCGGTTTAATGTAGAGGGAAGCCCCATGCTTGGGGCAGGACAGCAAAAGCTAACCCATGCCATCTTGTATGGTGTGAATAGTGAGAGCTCTCGGGAGTTAAGAACAAAGGAACCCCCAGGGTGCTGATCTCAGGCCAGGCCTTCTGGAGGAAGCAGGTCCATGGAGACACCTAGAAGCTGGGGGTAGGGAGGGTGTAAGTGACTCTGGAGGTGAGTGTGAAACGGAGGTGGTGCTGTGAACAACAGCCTCTCTGTTCCCACCAAGAACTGAACGGGGAACAATCTCTCCCGTTTCTCTCTCTCTCTCTCTCTCTCTTCCATTTCTCTGTCGGTTTAGCACACAAATCTCACTTTTTGCTACATAAAACTTACTGGTTTGTATATGAAGGAAACATTTCTCTAATTTTGAGGCAATGGTA